TGTGTGTGTGTGTGTGTGTGTGTGTGTGTGTGTGTGTGTGTGTGTGTCTGTTGAACGTCCCCTTAAAGTTTCAAACCGTTTTTGCTTCAAATTAAGAGAAGTTGCTGTGCATCTAGTTAAATATATAGTGAGCATTTCCATTAATGCATCAAACCTTTGTGAAACTGGTTTCACTATGAAAGGCAGGCAATGATGTAAACATCTGCGTCTGACTGTCTGTTAGCAAAATATCTCAGAGGATTAATTTTATTGAAACTTTGAGAAAGTAATGGCTGGATGTACCTGTACAGGTGTTTAGCTCGAGGAGTTTAGCTCAGACATGGCTGCCACATTTAATCAAACGTAGCAAATATGAAAATGGGTATAGCTCAGTCAGTTTTACAGATACTGAGAAAAACTTTTGTGTGGTAGTAGCTGAGAGTTAATCCAGCCCATTCTCTAGTAACAGATTGTTTAAGTATGTTGGCTTTAACTGTTTGAATCAATCAAATTAGCTTGTTAGCAAAATATCCCATGAAATGGTGGACATATTGAATTGAAACTTTCATAACGCAACCACTGAATGTGCATCGACAACTGATTAGCTTTTGGGGTCAACCTCAAGATGGCCACCATAATTAATTAATTTTATTTCTCTAATAGTCATTCCCATCTCATGCTCTGATCAGATCATGGGAAATGTTAAAAACATTAGCATGTAAGATGGCCATCGCAAGTTTCATTATGTGAAACTGCTGAATGACTTTCTATTACATAAAGTTTGTTGCTTAGTTCAACTGTTCACCGTCTTAAGAAGCTCAAACACGATATTACTGCCACTTCCTGCATCCTCCATTTAGAAGTAAAAGGTAAAATGTGGGTAACATCAGCCGTGACTGAACACGTCTGGTTTTACACAGCCCACATTTTGATCCTGATGGCGTTCGCAGAGTCGACTCATTTCGTGCCGTGTAACTTAATAGTCAGAACCGCTGGATGACAGAGAAAATAGCAACTGATGTGACAGCTCAATACGTCCACGGCGACGCTGAAACGGTGACAGAGCAGCGTTCCGGGACTCAAAACGTTGAGGATTAGATGCGACAGAGTTGAAATGGAACGATGGGCAGCGAGGCTGTTATCCAGCGTCTGCCCTGTCAGGCTGCGAGTGTTTATCAGACTGAGATGTAAGGGGACAAGAGGGCACATGTTTCTGGTTCTGAACAGCAATGGTTGAGAACGCCTCTCCCATCCGAAGCACAAAAGATTCTCCTTATGTCAACATTTAGATATCGCAAAACCAAATATGTATTTAGAACTGGAAAAAAGAAAAACACCTCGCAGGTGATTCAAAAGTCTCCATCAAAGTACAGTCAGACCGCTAAACTAATATTTTAACTCGATGTATTAAATATAATGTAATACCATTCAATACATAGAATGACTTGTTAAGGCACATAGTTTAACAAATAGTTGACTAAGAGTTGAGAGTATTGTTTTTTTTGTCCTTTTCCATAAAAGGAGGCTCTGAGGATGACTCAGAGGGAGTCAGTCAGTAAAAGTCAGCTCTTTGTAAACGTGAAACGCCTCTATCAGGGAATAAATGTGTGAAAATAATGCCTCATCTTTGTTTTGATTTCCCACAGCTCATTACACAACCGCCTTTTTGATTTTTAGTTTGTGAATTTTATACCCAGGTTTAAGTTGGAAAGTAACACTGTAGTAAAGATTGTGCATAAAATGTATGGAAATATGCACCAAAGTGCATGCTCTTTAATCCAGGTATAAATCCAACAAAGTTCAGTCAGGTGTTTTTTTTTTTGTTTTTTTTTGTTGCTGAGACATTTCGTCCTTCATCCAAAGGACTTCATCAGCCTGAGGAGCCTCAAAAAACTTTGTACCGCAAGCAGCACACACCCATAGTGGACAATCCAGTGAAGTCCTTTGGATGAAGGACGAAACATCACAACAAAATAAAGAAACCGTCCAGATGACCTGACTGAACTTTGTTGGATTTTCCACCTGGATTATTCAGCATGAACTTTGATGTTTTGAACCACTTTGGCTATAGCTGCAACTCTACTATGGGAGTGTGTTGCTTGTGGGGCTACGTTTGTTGTGGCTCCTTGAACTGATGAAGTCCTTTGGATGAAGGACGAAACGTCCCAACAAAATAAAGAAATGTCCAGAGGACCTGACTGAACACTGTATTATCTTACCTGTTGATGACTTATGACAAAACTACAATATGGAAGCACTAAAAAAAGGCTTTAATTTTGGACAGTGGAAGTTAATGAAGTCCCTTTGTCCATTTATTTTGTACATATATAGGAGGTAGATAGCTCTTACAACCTCATTTTGATGAAAAAGAGATTTGTGGCTGAACTGAGGAGCTAACAGCTAGTAGGAGCAGCGCCAAGACCAGTGTGGATTGCTGCCACGTTAAAACAATTATCGCAACACGTGCATAGTGTGTTGCGCAAATGCCATTTTCTAAACTAAACTAGAACATCTCTTCGTTTTGAATAAATTAATTTTTTTTTTTTTTTTTACCAGAATTGCTAATGAAGTAAATTTTGTAACGAAGGCTCCACTTGTGTCACCGTTTCATTCAACCTTTATTTAGACGGGTTAATCCCATTGAGCCTCGAGGACCCTAACCCTAACCGTGTCATGTGGCGTACAATTTGTGCTGTGAAAAAGTAGTGCAATTTGTTCAGGGGGTTTTCAGGATCTTTACAGAATCAGTTAAAATTGATTTCTGTTTAGGCTCAGTAATAAACTGGCTGTTTGTGGTGTGAAAGATGTAAGCTCACCGAGCACGGATGGTGCGCCTCAAGATACTGCTGTAATATATTTTTCCACTGTAGCTTTGATTTTTTTTTTTTTTTTAAGATTTTTTTTTTCATAGAAGCTGCCTGTGAAAATGCAATCTCATTTAAAGAGAAAAGTGGATAAAAAGAAGTGAACAAAAGAAAAACTTCTTTGGAGATTTCAGGGTTAGTGAGCGCGCTGATAACAGTCGCTGCCATTTGTTGGCCTGAACTCATGAATCAAGAGATTGTGGAGATGTTCAAACACAATTCCTAATGAGTTTAACACAAAACACAGTCATCATCGTGGATAAGAAAGAAGCCTCTTCTTGACATCTTATTGTGCTGTGAACTAAACATCAGCGGTTTGACTTTCATGACATTTTACGCATTGTCGCAGGCTGGAATTGTTTCAGCAGCCTGAATTCAGTTCAGTTCAGTTTAGTTTATTTCTATAGCGCCAAGTCACAACAGAAGTTATCTCAGGGCACTGAACCAAAACATTCATATACATAAAAATTCAATTACTAAAATTATTTATCTAAGGTAGGGTAGAGTAGCCAACAGATTGCACTGACTTCACAGTCTCCCGTCCTGAGCAAGCACAAGGCAACAGTGGAAAGGAAAAACTCCCTCATAACAGGAAGAAACCTCCAGCAGAACCAGGCTCAGGACAAGTGGCCCACTGGGTTTGAGAGGACAGGAAAGAGAAACGGACACAGAATGGCAGGTCCAGAATGAAGGTTCCTCTACAAGGAAAGACAAGAAAAAGGCATGTTAGGTAGAAATAATTACAAATACAAGCTATTCATTTGTAACTATTAATTTGAGGAAATTAGGCCAATTTGTCCTCCAGTAGTCTACGTCTATAGCAGCATAGGATAAGGGATACGTCAGGAAACCAAGCCAATCCTTACTATAGGATTTATCGAAAAAGAAATGTTTAAACCCAGTCTTAATAGTAGACAACACTTCAGCCCTACGGACCGAAACTGGAAGTTGGTTCCGCAAGAGATGAGCCTGATAACTGAAAGATCTGCTTTTGAAAACTCTAGAAACCTCAAATAAACCTGTAGTTTGAGAGCAAAGTGCTCTTTTAGGAAAATATGGAACAATAAGATGTGTAAATCACAGGAGTTATTCACAAAATGTTGTTTTAATGTCCAATGCCAGGGCTGAAAGGTAACAAGTTTTCAGCTGCGTAGTTTTACAAGTAATCACAGAAACAAACCGAGCTACGTAGCTTTGGGCAACATGACACAGTACGGTCTCATTTTATCATGCCATACTTTAGAGGAAATGTTTAATTCTTTGTATATCTGCGTACTATCCACTACAATTTTTAACACAACAGTTTAAACAAAACCAGAAAGGCAAAAGCATTATCACCTGTCTTTTGGTGGTAGGACGTAATAACAATTATGATGGTCTGACCAGTCAATTGGAAATCTGTTTAGCTGGTTGTTGTCCCCTAATTTTAGAGCTCTACTCATCAAGCAACTTTGGTAGATTTCTTGATTTTAAAAATAGTAAAGTTGTTTTTAAATCTGTAGTTTGAAACAACTGTTACTTTGTAAATTAAATACAGTACAGCATCTGGCATTCACTTGTTTGAACTCGTCCATGTCCTGATCCATGCTCAAAATCTCTCTCTCTCTCTCTTTCCCCTTCCTTTCACTCAGGTTCAGATCATCAAGAATTTCTCCTCAGCCGATCTCTTGACAAACTTCTTCTTCCCTTTCCCGTCCACTCCTCCACCCCTTGGGCAGCAGTCATGAACTGGGGTGCTCTGGAGACACTCCTCAGTGGAGTCAACAAGTACTCCACTGCGTTTGGACGAGTCTGGCTCTCCATGGTTTTTGTCTTCCGGGTGATGGTGTTTGTGGTGGTGGCTCAGCGCGTGTGGGGCGACGACCACAAAGACTTTGTTTGCAACACTCTCCAGCCGGGTTGCAGCAACGTGTGCTACGACCAGGTTTTCCCCATCTCTCACATCCGTCTGTGGGCCCTGCAGCTCATCTTCGTCACATGCCCATCTCTAATGGTTGTAGGCCATGTCAAGTATCGAGAAAAAAAGGACTTGCAGTACACCGCCACCCATGAGGGAAAACACCTGTATGCACATCCTGGGAAGAAACGTGGAGGGCTGTGGTGGACATACCTGGTGAGAAACTGAATTTGAAAATAAATCATCAGTATCCTGGTATCAATGAAACGGACGATGTAAATATTTTTCAAAACTACAACGAGGATTCAAGAAACAGTTCTGTGTATTCTTGAAGTGAGATTGTGTGGAGCCATTCAGAGCTATCAGGAATTGAGTTGCAGTAGACGTCGGAGCAATCTCCAGGAAAAAAGGAAAACGTTTTAACGAATGAGTCAAGCTAACAGCTGCTTAAAACACAGCCAATTCAAAAGCAATATATCCATTTAATCAGCGTTTTTTTTCAACGTGAATGGTATACCAAAGGGCTAGTTTGGTTATTTTCTGTCTGTTTTTCCCCCTCGATGTACTTTATTAGCTGTGACATCAGTCATGTGTGAAGGGTGGAGAAAAGGAAGAAGTCTTCCTCCAGGCTAGGCTAATGGCTAGCCAAACAAAGACCTGCTTATTTATTTACGATTACGTCATGGTTGTAAGGAGGTTGAAACCCAGGAATGCAGGCAGACACAAGGATACATACACACATGCATACCAGTGACGTGCAGTCAGGGGAGGCAGGTGAGGCAGTGCTCCACCTGTCATCATGACAAGTAAAATACTAACAGTGATAAGAGAAAATACACTTGACCACTTGACTGTTCTATAAAACTGTTTTCTGAATTATTTCAACGCTTCAATGGTCAAAATCATGGAATTTACGCATTGTCCGTACAAACATGGAAGAAATGCTCTGGGTGAGGCAGTGTGGTGCTCTGGTTCACCTCTGGGGGCGCTGTGTCATATACAATATATGAAGAAGGCAGCTGGAGCATGCTCATTGCTGTTTCTTTTCGTATGGCCAATATACATGTTTGATTACACATGTGCTGCACAAGTCTAATATATTGAATGAATGTGTGTGACATATTTATTCTTTATCGGTCATAATTCACGATTAAAAAATACAGGGGTGAAGCAGAAAGTACCATGCTGCACCGATAGGGGACAGTGCTGCCCCATGGGGCCATTTCTTCTGTTACACAGAGAGGTGGGTGTGTAACAAATTGGTACACTCGTTTAAATTTGTTTTGACAAAATGGAAGCTCATATCTCAAATCTAAAGGATGTTTCTAAACTCATTCATCTTAAAATGAATGTAAGATAATTAGGGATGCACGATATTATCGGCATGGTATCGGTATCGGCCGAAATTAGCGTTAAAGTTCAATATCGGACATCGACCATTCCATTAAAATAACTCGCCGATATAAAAGGCGCCGTTTTTGCCTGCAGCGGCAGAACAACACAATGACGTCACGTGCGCCTACTCGAGCTCACTGCGGAAAGGAAAATTCAAAATGGCGGGGTGGAAGTTTTGTTTTTCGTTGGTGAGGATGTCGGATTCCGAAGATTTATGGACTACGTTGAGCCTCGCTACATCGTCCGCAGTCCGAGATATTTTTCCGACGTAATGTTACCTGAGTTACAAGCCGTCATTTCCGATGTCGTTGAGAAGCTAATAGCCGATAGCACGACTTGTTGGGTGAGTTTTACCACAGACATGTGGACGTCGTGTTAGCCCCGTTAGCATGATTAGTCTTACGGCACAATGGATAGACAAAAACTTTTATCTTAAAAAGTCTGTCCTTCATGCACAGGAGTGCAGAGGATCCCACACTGCAGCTAGGAACCTGGAACAAGCCTCCACAAGTGAGACAGTATGCCAGGTGACTAATGCTAATAAATAACATTTAACACTTCTAATTTAATACAAGTCAAAGTGCTCTGCATATCATATGGATGTTACTAAATATATGTCACCAGCTCTTACAGCTGTTGCACAATTTTTGTAGCAAATAAGCCTAAATAAGAGGACGATGTTCTGACAAAGGAACGTATATAAAATATCGGCATCGGGTATCGGCTTAGTAAATTTGAACATATCGGCATATCGGCCAAAAATCCAATATCGTGCATCCTTAAAGATAATACATGGTTTATTTATTTATTTATAAAAAGAGAGGAGTATGGAGTTGATTCAAGCATAATTAGATGCATTTTTAAAATAAAAAAAGGCTAAATTGAAATATAAGCTTCTATTTTGGGTTCATATACGTGAGCATCCGATTCCAGACAAGTCGGTGCCTCACCTGTCACAAACCTCACCGCACGTCACTGATGCATACATATATGCATACATACATACATATAGTACATACTTGAAATATGACCTGAATATATAGGGTGGAGGTAATTGCAAAAGTAGTGGCACCTGAGCAGAATGCTGACTGGAAACAGGTGAGAGAGGGAGTCTGACTGGGAAAAACAATGAGGAGGAGAGATGGCGCAGGGAAAAAACAAAAACGTTGACCTGACAACAGTCGTACTAAACACTATCAAAAGATACAGATAACAAAACTTAATCACAAGGGGGGAAAAAATCAAAGAACTAACATCAAGTAACCAAAAATACACAGACATACACATATTAAACCTCTTCGCTTTTGCATGACACTGTTTTTCTTTAGGTTTGTCGTTGTCTCAACCCAACGTCGTCCATGTTTCTGCATGAACGTGCATGTCCTGAGCATAGAAGGACCGTGATGGTGCTGAGGCTGCTCAGATCATCAGTCCGCCTGGAGTTGAGTAAATTCTTTGGATGGACTTGACACGGTGATCAGGCCAACTGGTACATTCACCAGCCTTAACTACGTTCTATGCTCAGCACGCAGACATTTGCACAGTAACAGAGAAAACGGTGGCAAACTGAACAAAGCGCGGTGTCATGCAAAAATTCAAAGATTTGATATTGTAGTTCATGAAGCTCACACTAGTATGACACTTTTGGTAGAGTTTTTTTTTTAATATATATATATATATATATATATATATATATATATATATATATATA